GGGGGGCGGGTAGAGTGGGGGTACCTAAAAAATACATAAAACCAATTCGTGCCCCCTTGTGGCTGTAGCTTAAAAAAAGTCCTTACAATTTTTTACCCCAGGTCCCTTTTGCGGGTGGCCGGATCGGATCAGATTGACTGCTTGGACGTGCGTGGGTTCCCTGGGCAGCTCTGGGTCCTGGAAACAATCCTCGCTTGGTTTTGGTAGCGTCGGTCGGGTCAAGAGGCAGTGGGTTTTGTGATTCGGTTGGTCGGCTGGGAGGAGGAGGAGTTAGGTGGTGGTTGAGGAGAGAAAACAAAGGGGAGGAAGGAACAGGGGGGGGGGGGGAGAGAAACAAACAGGGCATGCCGCTTACCTCATCAAAACATCCTGGGATGTTTTGATGAGGTAAGTGGCCTGTGCCAGCCTGCCATCAAGGTTCTCCCTCCTCCTTGGGAGGAGAGAGAACTTAGTCAATACCCGATATTGATGAAGTTCTCTCTCCTCCCAAGGGAGAGAGGGAGCCTGGCTTACGTGAGCAAACACAGTAACCTTACCAATATCAATCAGTAAGGTTCAGAGCTTATTGAGGGGCGGGTCAAAGGCCCCGCCCCTTGGTTAAGCTACCTGCCAGTCCAGAGCCGAGCTATCTCGGTTCTTAGCTGGTGTGCAATCCCTGTTAAGTATCAAACTTAAGGGTTGTATTTCTTGATTAGTACAATAATAAAGAAATACAAAAGACAAAGAAAACAAAACAAAAGATAGAATAAAGAAATACCTTAAGGCAGGAGCAATGATACAAGGACGCGACGACGACAAGGAAAGAATAGGAAACAAGAGACACGACTAAGAAATGAAGAGTGTCAGAGGAAGCAATTGCCGATTCAATTAAGCGAAGAGATGAGATGATAACCTACAACGATAGGAAGGTTTCGGTAATCGGCGGAAGAACTTATGTTGGCGAACAGTTGAATAGAAGGGAAGAGTTCTTGCGTAAGGAAGGGAGTGATGACCGGACCGAAGTGTTTGTTGAGACAAAGGTGAGAGTTCTTGACAGGTCTGATGATTTAAGAAGAAGAAATGTGATGAGAGAATACGATAGAGGACGTTCGGAATATTGGAGAGAGAACAGCAGCGATGAGACCAAATACTTTAAGTATAATGTTTAAGATGTAAAGTATTAAAATGGGAAGTTGTTGGAATCATGGAGAGAAGAAAAAGAGTTCGGCGGAGAGAAGGGATTCTATATAAGTGAGACGAGCGAGTCGAAAAGAAATGATGAAATGATGTCATTGTCAGGTGGGCTGATTACGTCATCTAGTTGTGTTGGAAATAGCCACTAGAGTCTGAGAGGGATTGAGATCAGATCTCAACACCCCCCCTTCCCTCTAGACAAAGTAGTCCTAGCTTTTCCAATGATTTCACAAGTGCTGGACGCGCAACCGATTTCGTCAGAAAATCAGCAAGCATCTTGCTGGTAGGCGTGTACTGGAGAAGGATTTTAGCGTCCTTGATGACGTCCCGAATGAAATGAAGTTGTATTTCAACATGTTTCATCCTTTTAGCATTGGTATTTGCTTCGAAATTCGCAACCGCAATGCATCCCTGGTTATCTTCATGAACGACAGTTGGAGCATCTGCGGAAACAATTCCGACTTCATCCAAGAACTGACGAAGCCACAACAGTTCGCAAGAGAAGTTGGTCAAAGCCCGATATTTGGCTTCGCAAGACGACAAGGACACTACCGGTTGTTTTTTCGTTTGCCAGGAAATGAGATGGCCATTGAAAAGGGAGAGATAACCGGTCACCGATTGTCGAGTAGCCAAACAGTTTCCCCAGTCCGCATCGGTGAACCCACAAAGAGGTTCAATTTGGCCACGCCGATACACCAAGGCATTGTTGGCAGTGCCAGCAAGGTAACGGAGAACATGGGTGAAGGATTCCCAATGGGTAATCCCGGGATTTTCGAGGAATTGTGAAAGTGTACTGACGGCAAATGCGATGTCGGGACGAGTTGCTGTAGACAAGTAACTAAGCGCTCCCACCGCGCTACGATAATTTACCCCCAGAGATTTTAAGCGATCTTGTTCTTCAAGAGTCGCCTTGGCCAAGTGAATATTCGGCACAAGCGGAGTTGTAACAGTCCTACAAGCGTTCATTCCGTAGAGCTCAAGGAGGGAATTCACATAATGTAATTGTGAAAGCACAATAGCATCACCCTCATGCAATATTTTAATGCCCAACATGAGGTCTGCTTGACCCATGTCCTTCATATCGAATTCGGCCTTGATCTCTTCTTTGAATGAATGAACATTCTTGCCAAAGACAGCCAAGTCGTCCACATGTACGAAGATCCAAACAGGTTCCCCGTCCAGTCGATAGAAGACACACGGATCAGAGATGGCGATCTTGAATCCGACAGAAACAAGCCACTTAGATAAGCGATTGTACCATGCCAATGGCGCTTGTTTGAGACCGTATATCGCTTTGTTGAGCTTCAGGCATTGGCGTTTCTTATCGAGGTCGACACCTTGAGGCACCGAGAGAAAGACTTCTTCATCCAAATCTGCATTCAAAAAGGCAGTCTTCACATCGAGTTGGTGAAATTGAAGATCATTCGCGGCAGCATGAGAAATGAGTGCCCTAAGAGAATTGAGTCGGCCCGTCGGGGCAAACGTTTTCGAAAAATCAACGCCATGTACCTGAGAGAACCCCTGGGCACACAGGCGAGCTTTGAAAGTGACGGAGTTGCCATCGGTCTTCTTTCTAAAGACCCATGTGGTTCCCACAGTTTTGATGTTCGAGGTGAGGTCCACAACCTTCCAGACAGCCAACCTCTCCATCGCATCAAGTTCCGTTTTGATCGCAGTCAACCACCCAGGAGCCTCGGGCCCACGTATGGCTTGATTGTAATGAGCCGGAATATTTTCCCCCAAAGTAGTGAGGAAAACGCGAGCTTTGCGTGTGCGGCGAGTGGTGAGAACATTAGAGGAGGATATATCGCCGTTGATCTCTTTCGGAGCCAATACAAGAGCGTCCGGTGCCATGTTAGCAGGCGAAGGAGGAGTTTGTTGGTCCTCTTCAGGAAACTCTTCAGCGATCCCACCATGAGTTGATACTGAGGAACATTCTGAATCAGCTTCAAAAGAATCGTGAGCGATTTCGTCTTCGAACAGCTGTTCACTCATGGCGAAAGGTACAGAGTCGTTGGAAATCTTCGGGAACACGCTTTCATCGAATCTTGCGTGACGAGTTTTGACAAGCTTCTTGTCCCGAAGGCGAAGAATACGATACACTGACCCCTTGTTTTCAAAACCGACAAGAATACCAACGTCCGCAGTATTTCCCAGTTTCCAAGATCTATGATGTTTGGGAACGGCAATATATGCCTTGCAACCAAATGTCCTGAGACGATGACAGGGAGGATTGCGATTAGTCCATAATTGATACGGAGAAGAAGTTCGAGAGGGTGAGGCTAACATATTTGATATGAAGGTAGCGGCATTCACCGCCTCTGCCCAATAGGTTCTTGGAAGACTGCTGGTAAGCAACAGACATCTGGCTTTATCCAAGATCGTTCGGTTGGCTCATTCAGCAAAACCGTTAAGTTCAGGAGTTTCAGCTGGAGAGAACGTTTGAAGGATGCCCTTCTTGGCCGCGAATTCGCTGAAAACATTGTTGACAAATTCGCCACCCTGATCTGAAATCACTTCCTTGATTGAACCGTCTTGTAGATTTTCAACCAAATTCGCGAATCGTTCAAATTCTTCAAAAGTATCTGACTTTGATTTTAAAAACCAAACAAATTTGAATGATGAGTATTGATCGACGATAGTGAGAAAATATTTGAATCCGGAAATAGAAGGGGGATTGATAGGTCCGACCAAATCAATGTGCAAGCGTTGAAGAGGAAATTGTGCGGGAGGAAAATGACTTGAGAAAGGAATGAGAGTCATTTTTGAACATGTACATACCTCGCATAACGAGATGTCTTTAGGATAAATCAATCCCATTGCCTTCATTACTTGATCGGACGGATGGCCCAGGCGATGATGCCATAATTGACGATCATCCTTCTTGAAATTGATGAAAGCCTTTGGGCATTGGCGAAATTTTGAATGAAGAAGATTATCAATTATTTCTCCTGAGAACAGCGGACCAGTGTCATCCGAAATATCGAAGTATTGAGAGTTCTTCGTGATTTTGATTGACAAGTCAATCAACCTGACAAGGGAAATGAGTTGTGTCGTAATATTTGGAGCGAAGAGACATTCGTACAGAGTGACGACACGACCATTGGTGAGGATCTCAGCAGTGCCGTGTCCAGACGCAATCAGAGGGGCATCGGGATTACCGGTTTTGATGACAATTCTTTCAGCGGTGAAAGAAGAGAACACGGCGCGATTCTTCAGCATATGATGAGACGCCCCAGAATCAATTACCAAGCCATTCACCTGCTGATTCGAAACGTAGGAGACGAATAAGGAGGCATGAGCAAAACTTGCACTTGCATTGATGGTTTTCTTTTGTTGGCGAGAATTGTTGGAGTTATTCGGACGAAGGTGAGGATACTTTTCATAGCATCTTGACTCAACATGAGTGGTTGCTTCAGGATTGTGATCGTTATTAGCACAGAGATGAACGATTTTGAATGGGAATTTTCCATTAGTAGGCGACGAGGTTGAAACAAGAGCAGTACCCTGATCCAACTCCTTCTTCGATCCTTTGTGAGTTAACCAGGTTTGAAGTGCATCCAAAACCAGGTACGGAGAAGAGGTGCAATCTTCAGACATAGCACAATTGTCGACGATTTTGTCGAGTTTATCGTCATGCATGAGCTTTCCTAAAACAAGATATGAAATGATATCAAGAGGAAGAGTAATACCGACCGCATCGATGTCAAGGAGATGAGCTCTAGTTCGGTCGATGTATTCTTGAAGGTTTCCTTTGTACACTTCAGCAGACCATCCCATGAAGACACGGCCATGATTGATCACCGAGTGAGAAGCGTATTGCGAAGCGATCTTCTTCCAAAGGAGAATAGGATCAGAGTCGGTGAGAGAATTAACCACCTCGTTATAACATCGATGGTTGATACGGGAGGTTATGATGGAGATGGCCTTGTCACCAGCCTCCTCGTATGCGGTCTTCTCTTCATCGGTGGCGTCCTCGGCGATGGGAATTGTGCAGCACTTCCAAAGCTTCTTCCCGCGAAGATAGATGAACATACGGGAGTGCCAGTTAGTGTAATTCAATCCATCCAGAATAGGAACCCCATTCGATGCGGGTGTGTTGTGTTTGTCGGTCCCAGACATGATCCTGCCTTAGAGTATGATGAGTGAGATCGGATCGTGGTTACTGAGCCAATCGAGACTGTAAATCTGTTAAGTATCAAACTTAAGGGTTGTATTTCTTGATTAGTACAATAATAAAGAAATACAAAAGACAAAGAAAACAAAACAAAAGATAGAATAAAGAAATACCTTAAGGCAGGAGCAATGATACAAGGACGCAACGACGACAAGGAAAGAATAGGAAACAAGAGACACGACTAAGAAATGAAGAGTGTCAGAGGAAGCGATTGCCGATTCGATTAAGCGAAGAGATGAGATGATAACCTACAACGATAGGAAGGTTTCGGTAATCGGCGGAAGAACTTATGTCGGCGAACAGTTGAATAGAAGGGAAGAGTTCTTGCGTAAGGAAGGGAGTGATGACCGGACCGAAGTGTTTGTTGAGACAAAGGTGAGAGTTCTTGACAGGTCTGATGATTTAAGAAGAAGAAATGTGATGAGAGAATACGATAGAGGACGTTCGGAATATTGGAGAGAGAACGGCAGCGATGAGACCAAATACTTTAAGTATAATGTTTAAGATGTAAAGTATTAAAATGGGAAGTTGTTGGAATCATGGAGAGAAGAAAACGAGTTCGGCGGAGAGAAGGGATTCTATATAAGTGAGACGAGCGAGTCGAAAAGAAATGATGAAATGATGTCATTGTCAGGTGGGCTGATTACGTCATCTAGTTGTGTTGGAAATAGCCACTAGAGTCTGAGAGGGATTGAGATCAGATCTCAACAATCCCACCCATCCCTCGTGGAGGGGAGGGTTCTTCTGCACACCCCTTGGAAGCCTGTTTCCTTGAAAGAACAGGCGTGCAATCAAACCCGCCCCTCTGAGAGGGGCGGGTTCAATTGCACACCCCTTTTGGAGGGGCGGGGGTATGGGCGGGCGGGGAGGGGGAGGAAGTGCATTTATCAACGCACATCCACAACTGTAGGATGGGGAGACAATCTAAAGATGACGATCAGTACCCGGGTACCTCTAGCGGTACCCTGGTACCACCTTTGTTTTTCTCAGAAATGAACACCAGGTACCTCACCTGGCACCCCCTGGAGGGTACCAGCGGTACTTTGGGTGGGTACCAGCGGTACCTGTGGCCGCGGTGCAAATGGCACTCTTGTTGAGCTAATCTTCTAATACTATCACCTTTCTTTTACCTTTCCCATCTGATTTACCCTTCTTAGCAGGCTGAATACCATCTTTCCACTTGGCCAACACCCCTTCCTTTATCATCCCATTTTTTGAGTAGAAGGCAGCAGCCATCCCCCTCATTAGTGACTGCGCAGTAAGGAGGGTACCTCTAGCGGTACCCTGGTACCGCCTTTGTTTTTCCTCAGAAATGGACACCAGGTACCTCACCTGGCACCCCCTGGCGGGTGCCAGGCGGGTCCCGGCGGTACCAGGCAAACAGGTGCCGGGTACCAATTGTCATCTTTAAGACAATCCATACATGATAGCCTCACTGAAATCGATTATAATGATCATAAATAATTGATCTATTTCTCAATTGGCCATGAAAGAAAAAGAAAGAAAAAAAAAAACTTGTATTTGAGTGTGTTTTTAAAAAAAGTTTATTTTGTTGGATGAGAGGAAGGGAAGTTAAACAAAAAAAAAGACAGAAGATGGAGAAATGGGGAAGAAAAGATATTTTATAACCAGATCACCAAAAGATTGTCTTCAAATGTTACACATATATGTATATGTATATAAATATATGTGTATATATATAAAGTTATATAAAGAACAGGGGATGGAAATGAGAACCAAAACAAAACTCAACAAGAACAAGAACAAGAGAACCAGGACTGGAACTAGAACATGAACCAAAAACAAAAACAAAAAAAACAGGAACTGGGGAATTAAAAAGAAGACGTAATGGTGAAAGAAATAGGTTTGGAAAGGATGGTAATAGACATGACATGTATGGTGGAAGCAAACAACAGAGATAAGAGAAGGAGAGAGTGAGCAACAAGACATAGGACTAGAGAAAGGGAGGGGTGGGGAGGGGGGGGTTAAGAATGGTGTTTTTTGAAAGATTGTTAATTATCTTTTCAATCCAACGAGAACGCCGAACCGATTAAGAGCCTCATCTCTGACGGCAATCATGAGTCTTTGGACGGTATGATTATCGTGCTGGTCGGTATTTTGAGGGTGAGGATGAGTTCCGAAGATAGATTGGTGTGAGTCGAGCTGGTGGTTAGTTGATGATGACGACGATGATGAGGTGGTGGTAGTGGTGGTGGAGATAGGATGTGGGGAGGAAAGTCCATCGAGGAGTGAGAACCATTTTCGGATCAAGGACTCGGAGATGATCATCCGGTCGATGAAGATCAATTTATGGATAGATTCGATGAAGTTCTTCCAGTTCTGGAAGAGGGATGGGATGAGGATCGATTGGAATGGGTAGGAGACGTTCCAGTTGAGGTCCTGATGGTCGTTCTGATTCGAGGGTTGGGTGGACAGACTGGGGAGGAGGGATTCGATTTTGGAGATCGAGAGGCTGAGATGGCTGAGCAGACTCAATTGGTCTGAGACCGCTCCATAGATCACCGATAACTCGGGCTTCCCCTCTGCTCGTGAGCCGCATCGATTCTCGATCGTCTGCGCCGCGAGTTCCAAACAGCTCAGACAGTCGTTCACATAGCTATTCAATGGCACTCGCACTCGGTTCCAGATATACTCCTCCCGGTTCATCCGCTTGTTGGGAATCGATTCAACTAATTGTTTCTCGACCTCGTCTAGTTTGAGGAGGATGGATTCTAAGGATGGCGGTGGTAATAAGCTCTTGATCATCGGTTTGAGTTCAGGTTTCTGTTGGATCAGTCCATGTAACAAGCTGATCAGTTCGTTTTTCGTTAGGGAGACTGGATGGGCAGAAGAGGAGAGTGGGTGGGTGTCAGTTGTATATCGATAAAGAAAGAAAATCAAATAAAAAAGGCTTTACCTAGGGCCGTTCCGAGATCGGTTGGGTCCTCCTTGGGATTCAAGCCATGATCAGCTTCGAGTGAGGGATTGCTGTTTGGGAGTGTTCTCTTAGTTCGTTTGGGCAGGCTGGAGATCGATTTGAGAGGGGAGGTGGTAGGTTGTTCGGCAGGATTGAATTCGTTTGAGGCAGATCGTTTGCGAGACTTGTTGAAGGATGAGTTGTAAGTTTGAGGTTGTTCCTTCCTGAGTAAGTTGATACTGTTGCTGCTGCTGTTGTTGTTGTTGTTGGGTTGTTGTGCTCCAGCGAATGACCAGTTGAGTGGTACGGTGATTGCTGGTTGTCTGAATGGGACCTGGTGAGTCATCGTTATTGGGATCACAGGTGGATGGGTAGTCGACCTGTGCAGTGGGAGTTGGTCAGTTCTCTTTTATGGTCCAGTGAGTCAGTTGTCTGTTCTCTTACATCCTTTGTTTTGTTTTGCTTTGGTTTGGTTTTGGTTTTCTTTTTTGGTTTTTTGGTGATATGGTAGTAGTATGTAGTGAGAGGGAAGGAGAAGAAGGGGAAGAAGAAGAAGGGGAACGACTGCTGAGCTGGCTTACATAAGCTCGAGTAGGTAGAAACTTAGAAACTCAGACAGCTCCCAAAGCCTAGACTCTTCTGCCCTCAACAACGTCAACACACAAAGGCTGCTTCAAACAAACAAACACGTACAAAAGATTTCGACGTTCCAATCAAACAAGAGGCCGAGGAAATCTGGACCAAACCCATAAGTTTTTGCACAGCTGTCGATGTTCTCCTTGTGGGGAGAGAAGATCCTGTATTCGTAAACATGATGGTCATGTCTTTCACATATCCGCTAAAAATGTTAAGAGTAGATTAGGTGTTGTAGCAGGCCTACAATAACTGCTAGCAACAAGTACTAGTGCTCAAATATAACACAGTGCTACATAAAATAATAGCAAAATCCAAATAAACAATCTCTATTGGTGTGTGGGCAGCTGGCTCACAACTACTACATAAATATGTAATTGAGGGCTTCTACTTGACTAAAGAGTCTTCCAACTAATTTAACAGTCAAGCTGAGTTTCCTATAATAAATCAATTGTCTGAGTTAAAAAAAAACAATATATATGTTCTTTGAGGGCTAAGTGTGCATGGGATAGAATGAATTGATTGATTAGAAACAACAGAGACCACCGAAGATCTTGCTTGGATTTTCCATCAAACAGGAGGGGGGAGAGGGTGACTCATGGATTAGCACTCCTGATC